AGGGGTGCTTCACATGCTTCAGTTTTACTCATTCATTTTCATGGGTGTTTTTTTTCTTTCAGTGGACACCGCCCAATTTAAGTGTACCTATCTTGAATTTGGTGGACAAGATTTTTCAGCTGAATAGAAGAGGCTGGCTAAGGTGACAACAACATGTTTTGTACTTCTCTAATTCCTATTTCATTCCCTCCTGGTATCAAATTGAGAACTGTTTTCCTACATTTAACTTCTCTTTAATAGTTTAACTATTGAACCGGTTTCATCATCCATCTTTAATATCTTCATGCTTAATTTGGTTCCTAAAAATGACTTAGAAGGGTCAAATATACCATTTGATTTATAATTATGCCAAAACTACAATCTTCCATCCTGATAAGCTGAACTACTGAAGCATGCACAATATTTCTAATGGAATACATGAAGGAGAGAAGGAGATGATCCAGGACTTCACAGATTTTGACATGGTTTCAATGAACATCTATACATTTTTAATATTTATGTTTTCCTTACCTACGACATGAAGGTAGTAGGTTCATGTAGAAGGTTAGCAATGTATCTACTTTTTGTTTCTCCAAAATAACCCTGCTTTTTTATTAAAATATCCCTGTCTGGCTGCCAGCACATTAAATATAGGGGATTGTATGTCCGTCAACTACATTCCCCATTTTTCTTGTCTCTGCATTATTGCTCTGCTTGGTGTCAACTTTATTGCAAGTTTAAAACTGCCGACACTGCATGAAAGATATCTTGTATTCATATTATTTCCTTGATATGCCATCATTAAAGAACATCTAACATAGCCATTATTGTTCTTGCAGAAGACAAGTATTTTGGATATCAAAGGAAATAATGCAGTTAATGATGGAGGACGCTATTGATGATTGGCTGTTAAGGCAAATCCATTGGCTACGGAGAGAGGATGTTATTGCTCAGGGAATCGGATGGATTAAAGATGTAAGCATTTAGTTTTCTGGTTGTAACTTTTCCGCCTTAATTGCTTACATCTGAAGCCAAATTCTTTTTGGCTTCTGCTTCTGAAGTTACATTATTTACAGATTGCATTAACTAAATGACAAATGGAAAATACTGTTGATTGGTGAAGAGACATAGTTTGGAATTCCAAAAAGGACAATGGTGCAGAGTCCCTTTTTAGCAACCTTAGTGCAGGTTCCCTTTTGGGAGTTTTGACATGTTATGCCTCAAATCTTTTTACGCCCATGGATTTCCTCTTTGAGAGTTTTTTATAAAATAAATGGATGTGGCAATTCGTCAATATTTGATAATTCGATCTTTGATCATTGGTATCATAAACTTAGTTATTTTATTTCTTTTGAAAATGGTAATAGTATTGGTGTTATTATTTTAATGTATTTAATGTTGTATTTGAATCATTTAGCATGACACTTACAGCTAAGTCTTTTCGTTATTAGATTTCAAAGTCTGCCATCTATATTTGCTGCAACTTCTGTAAAATAGTATGTCTTACTGCAATACTTATTTTGAACTTGATGTGGCATATGTGAAAATAGCTATCTGATGGAAAGAGAACAGTATTTGGAAATCAATGTCAAGGGAATGAATTTTTACCCTGTGCTGCAACATAAAATGTTGAGAAGTATGCACCTTTATATTTGTTTGTAAGGGTTATAATGCTTTTTTTAAGACTAAGATTTATAATGTGGTTCAGTCAACTAAAATAATGGAGCATGCTATACTCATAATGTATGGAACTTGGCTATATCATCTTAATTTCTTTGCTTATTGGCTTTTTTCTCGACTTTCACTTGTGTCATCATTGTGCTACTTTAAGATTATAAAATGAGGAAGTTATGTAGAAGGATCATTTGGTAGTGACTTTTTGGGTCTGTTGTTGATTTGGTTCCTAGGTTCTCTGGCCGAATGGCATTTTCTTCATAAAATTAAGAAATCCAGTTGAAATCAACAATCGCGAACCAAATCAAGGAACCACGAGACAACCTGTAGGAAGTAAGGCCTCTAAGGCAGGATCTTTTGAGGAACAGCTTGAGGCTACTCGTAGAGCAAGTGATGTGAAAAAGATGCTCTATGGTAAGTGTGCTCTTGATTGTGCATGAATTGCCAACATTACTTTCTTACCTATTGTATGAATGGAAGTTCCTTAAAAATGCCATTTTCTATTCTTTTATGTAATTGACTGTGCAGAAGTAAAAAAAACGTCTCCCATTGTTGCTTCTTTTTAAATTGTTTTCAAACTGTAATACTCTTCCTTCAGCTAGCAAGTAGTAGATGTCTTGCTCAACATTGATTCACGCAATTCCTTACTTCCACTGGGTGGTTCATGTTCACTTAGGTTGGGGTTATCTGTTCAATTTCACCAAAGCTTGTTGCCCTGCAACTCTATATTTTTTTTNGGGATAAATTGTTAACTAGTTCCTCTTTAAATTCTTAGATGGTGCTCCCGCCACATTGGTCAGCTTAATTGGGCACAAGCAGTACAGACGTTGTGCTAGAGATTTGTATTATTTCCTTCAGGTAAATACCTCACTGCGAGAACATTGGTTTCCTATTTACATGTTTTCCGCTGAACTAACAATGACAAATGAATTGAATGTGCAGTCTTCCATCTGTTTAAAGCAGCTTACATATGGTGTCCTCGAACTTGTACTCATATCGGTCTTCCCTGAGCTGAGGGATGTTGTGAAGGATATCCATGAAAAGGCACAAGCTCAACCTGTATAGGCTGTGACACTTTTTCTTTCTCAGTAACTCCATTAATGCGCTACGTGATTAAAGAAAAGTTAATGAGCTCATTTAACTCGACTCTCTGGCTATAGATTCCAAATCCTCCTGTAAAGCTGGGAAGGAGAGCGGATCTAGGCAGGGGTATGGAAACTTAGTGACTTGATTTTGTCAAATTAATTTTTTTTTTTTCAGTCTAGGATCTTGGACTGCAGGAAATTCTTTTATGGGATGCCAAAAGTAGGAGCAAATGCTCTACTTTTGCTTCTTACTGTACAAAGTGTGCATTAGAATCTGTACAGTAGTCAGTTTTGGTGTGCAGTCTTGTATATTCATTTGGAACTACCTCAATTGGATGATATAACTAGTCGGGCTGATGCTAGCCATATTAAATTCACTACATGATGAATCCAAATTTTGCATTAATATCATCTCTTGTTTTTTTGCTGCTGGCTCCTTGACCTTTCCTTTGATCTAGTGGGGCTAAACTCTTATTGTGACACGAAAATTGTGAAAAAAGCATGACTAGTTTTCGGACTGGTAATCTAAAAATAGCTAGCATTTGCAGAGTCACTGTAAAATAGTCACTATCTTATGTGGAGATAAAATCTGGACAAAAATATCCTAGTTGAAACACGGAAAATTCTAGTATGGAGCTCATGTGTGTAAACTTTCAGCATATTATGTTGGAATTCAAGCACATTATGAAATTCAAGCATATTATGCTAAAATCTCATATGTTAAAAATTCTACCTCCAACATGTTATGCTGTAATTTTTTCAGGTTTTTAAAGGTTCTTTTGTTCAGATTTTGTCTTTCATTGAAAAGTGATTAAATTTCGATTGCTTTTGAAGTTGTAAATAAGAATATTCCTGATTTTTTCCCGGGAAAATTATACTACTGGGCTTTTGGCTCTACATTCAACTGTAACAGGCTTGGGCCTTTCGATTACTTTCTGAAATATTCCAACTAATTGGTATGACTGCGCAGTAACAATTCAACGGATGCTGTAATTACACCTGCAGGAGTGGAAGTAAAAATAGCACGGGCTAGCCAGTTTTTGGACTGGTCATTCAAAATAGTTAGTGTTTGCAAAGTCATTGAAAAATAACCACTATTTTACTGTAATAGGGACCGGTCCAGCATAATATACTGGAGATCGGTGCACCTGTGTATGACTTTCAGCGTATTATGCTGGAACTCCAACACGCGGAAAATTCCTCCAGCGTATTATGCTGGAACTCCAACACGCGGAAAATTCCAACATAATATACTGGAGATTGGAGCACCAGTGTATGAACTTCCAGCATATTATGCTGGACCGGTATGTTATACTGGAACAGTGGAACTCCAGTATATTATGCTAGAGTTTCAGTATACTTATGCTGGAACTCCATTATAATATGCTAGAGTTCCAGTATACTTATGCTAGAACTCCGGTATATTATGCTGGAGTATTTTCCGGATTTGAACAGTGTTTTTGTTCAAATATATTTTTACATGAAAATTGGCTAAATTTTGATTACTTTTGAAACTGTGGCTATTTTTGAATTTCTCCCGGAATGGAAGGATGAAGGAATTGATTTTAGTTCATTTTAGGCGTATAAATTTTTAGCAGAAGTCTATAGTTTTGGCCGATTGAAGCATGCTACATACATTCTTAGATGTTGCTCACATTCAATATTAATAGTTGCCTGATTATGTAAAAAAATTATGCAATATTCTGTAAAAATCCTTTACCGTTACTGTATAAAATTTAAAGCTAAGAAAGAGGAAAGTAAGTTTATATGCAATTTGATTGGCTCCAGTCATTTTTTTTTTCATACAATTAATCTATACTTAATGTAGACATGTACTTGGGATTGATTTTTTAAGTGACTTGATGTGTAAATATTCACCAATTGTCAATGGATAAAGATTTAAGAATTTAATTTTTATATACTAACTCTATATAAAGAATTTTATTACTGTCGCTTAAAAGCCAATCACAAGGTATAATAGTTAAATCCAGTAAATCCAAAAAGTTTATACTAGTTGCAGACGCTATATGGCCAGGGGCGAAGCTACTTTGATCCAAGGGTGGTCAACTGAATACCCTTCGTCGAAAAATCAAACTACGTATAAGATAAAATATTACTTGTTACGGATTAAAAATAGACTTTGAATAAGGTAAAATATTACTTGTGGCTTGCATGTGAACATCCTCTTTAGAATATAGCATGCCTTGGCTCCTACTTCCACTCCCAACTATAAAGGGTAGCCTGGTGTACTAAGCTTCAGTTATGCACGTGGTCCGGGAAAGAGCCGGATTGCTTCAAACTATAAACGCCATAAAAGATGTTGGTGTCAACTGTCATACCATCAGTTTGCTCTGTATAGTTCCTGAATCCTCCCATCCTTTCATGTATTGCAGACACTATTTTTAGCAACTTTCTATATTTTTCTAGTTGGGTGGGTCCTACCCTCCAATTATGTGAATCAGATCACTATCAACAACCACTTCTAGTACTTTTTCTTTAATTTCCTTTTGGGAAAATTTGCCATACTTCTCTTGGTATTTGGTTTTGCATTTTATCTTCATTCTTCATTGCTCCATGATAACCTAATAAGGAAATCTGAATTCCAACAATAATGCAGGTAGGACTGAACGTTTAAAGGACATTATTGCACTCTTTTAATTTCCTTTTCATATAAAGACTGTAGCTCTTGCAAATTAATTCTAGCTCTAAAAACTTGTTGTTAAAAGACCAGTGCAACTGCTTTTGTGATGACAGAAAACGCCTCAAAGAAGATAGATAGAAGAGCAATCTTCTTCAAGATTTTTAATCCTACTGTCAAGAGTGAACTGGTAATATTCTCTTTTATTCATCATTGTATAAGTCTTGGCGTAACCGGTAAAGTTGCTACCATGTGATCAGGAGGTCACGGGTTTGAGCCGTAGAAACAATCTCTTGCAGAAATGCAGGGTAAGGCTGCGTACAATAGACCCCTTGTGGTCCGGCCCTTCCCCGAATCCGCCACATGGCGTGAGTTTAGTGCACTGGGCTCCCTATTCATCATTTTACAAGCATATGTCTACTTTCTCTTTGTTTTTCTGCTTTAGTATGTTCCGTACCTTCTTTCTGCGGATCTTTATATGAGCTGCTACTTGGGGAGTTTTTAGTATGTCAAGAAAGTCATTTTTCAAAAAAATCTCCTGAAAAATGATTTTTGGTGCTTGGCTAGAAGGTGAAAACTACTTTCCCAAAAAACAGTATAAAAGATTGATAATACAATTAGCAAACTGTATAGTATTGTGATAAATATTTTTGAGTAAGAATGATTAAGTGTGGGTTAAAGCTGTAACATAAAGTTAAAAGTTGAGATAATTGTGAAGGAAAATGATTACCTCGAAAGTGAGGGAAACCATGTTCCCTAAGAATGTATTTTAGAGAACATTTTTGCAAAATATTTTCCGTCATACCACAAACACATCCAATGTTTCTCTTTTGACGACTCTCTTAATTTGCAGAGAATACCAGCCCATTTTCTTAGGCATATTTCAGAAGATTCACCTGATAAAGCAACTCTGAAATGTCTTTCTGGAGGCATTTGGAATGTAAAATTACACATTGATGAAGATGGCTTGCTTATACACCAAGGTTGGGAGAAATTCCACAAAGATAACCATATAGAAGATGGGGAGTTTCTCGTGTTTAGGTACGACGGGGATCTACAATTTACAGTAAGAATTTTCAGCAAAAATGGACTGGAAAGAGAAGCGAAGTCAATAACCATGGACAAAAATCAAAAAGCTTCAATATCTGATACGTTCAAGAACCAGAAAAGGCCACCAAAATACCCTTACAACCCTATGGACGTTGAAAATGGCACAGGTGTGATGATTTAATTTGTAATTTTATGATTAATTAAAGCCTATTAAGTTGAATTAACTCAATGTGCTATCTTGTGTTTTCTTCAGAACATGAAACTCCAAGAAAAAAAGTTGCAGCTGAGAAAGCGAAGCTCTTTCTAACTTCAGATACTCCTCAATTTGTGAAATGTTTGAAAAGCTACAATGTGAACAAGTCCTGTTTCATAGTAAGTACTTTCTAAAACTAATTTAATTAATTCCATGCTTTATTGATTTTTGTGACCAGTAAGCTATATGAAATGTATAACATATACCCATGTCGTTTATCAAAGTTTTAAATATTGTTTAAATATATCCCCGTTATACTTTCTGTTCACATATACCCCTGCCATCCATCAAAGTTTTAAATATTGTTTAAATATATCCCCGTTATACTTTCCGTTTACATATACCCCGTCGTTCATCAAAATTTTAAATATTATTTAAATCTATCCCCGTTATACTTTCTGTTCACATATACCCCTGCCATCCATCAAAGTTTTAAATATAGCCCTATTTTAACGGACATGACACGTGGTGGCCTCTAATCAAATTTTCCAACTCAAAAACAAAAAAACCCAACCAGACAGGTTTTAAGAGGGAAAACGGGTCGGTCAGTCATGGATTTTAGTCTTTTTTTGGGGGAAATTTTCATAAATACAACTTCTATTACATCATCTACAACTATTATTTGATTCACGTTCTGTACAATACAACAAGAACAACAACAACCCAGTATAATCCCATTTAGTGAGGTCTGGGGAGGGTAGTGTGTATGCAGACCTTACCCCTACCCTGGGATAGAGAGACTGTTTCCAAATAGACCCCCGACATCCTTCCCTCCAAGAACTTCCCACCTTGCTCTTGGGGAGACTCGAACTCACCCCGTTCTGTACAATATTTTATACAATTAATAATTATTCAGCTTAAAAAATCTCTTCTCTCTCTTCGAAAATCATTTAATAAGAATCTAAAAAATTTAGCAAATTTAATGAGATCTTCATCATTCCCTAAATTTAAGCTTAACTGAATTGACAAAACCTAATTATTTTAAAAAATCTGTAAATCCCTCAAATTTAGCCTAATAAAATTTACTACAACTCAAATACAATGAATCATCTCTTAAAAGATGCCTTTTTGCTTTCATTAATTAGGTGAGAGATTACACCATATGTTTATGTTCATTGAGTAATAATATACTATCTTTTTGCACTATTGCATGTAACTGATATATGGTATATTGTATACTATTTATATAGTGATATAGATATATTGTAATATGTTGTATAAGGTATATATTTAAATGTATTAATAAATAATAGAATATAATATATACTTTATATAAGAAATAATGGTTAAATAACATATCTAAATAAAATAATATACTTTCTACCTAAAATATGCAATATACTTAAAGAAATTGTATATTATACATAGTATTAATATATTATATACAATGTACTATAAATATACTATATATAGTCCTCTTAAATCCAATATTCTTTATATTATATAGATAATAGAGCTCTTAAATATATTCTGTAAATACATATATTTGTATATGAATAATGTATTCATATATACTATATGCATATTATGGTACTTAANTTGTCCTCTTAAATCCAATATTCTTTATATTGTTTATAGATAATAGAGCTCTTAAAGATATTATGTAAATACGTATATTTGTATACAAATAATATATTCATATATAGTATATGCATATTATGGTACTTAATATATAGTCCTCGTAAATGTGATTATATATATATATATATATATATATGTATGTATGTATGTATGTATGTATGTATGTATGTATGTATGTATGTATGTATATTATAGTAAATGTAAAGGAATATTGCACCAATATTTGGTTTTTCTTGGTATATTGTAAGCATATAAAAAATATCTACATATATTATACCAAATTCATACATAAATATTTTGGTATTTTGTCGTTAATCCTTAATACCACATGATTCAACATTTAAAAATGTTGAACCATTCTAACTTCTCAGAAAAATAAATTCAAAAATGTCAACTTATCTATTTAACAATTGATTGAATTTACTAGAAAATAAAAGGGGAAAAAATGATGAAGAAAAAGAATACCATGGGTGTGAAACCAAAAGATCAATTTTTCTTCACATATTCATCACTGGCGTGCTGTTTTCCATAAATCCTTTTATCTTCCTTTTTTCCAGATGTAATTTGTTGATAATTAGAATGAGGGTGATGGCTGGCATGCGATGTTGGTGCACCATAACTATAAAATATTGACAAAAAATTAGTTCTTTCAATAGATGATTCTGAAATTTCTTCGATCCAAATATTGTCTCTAACACCATTGTCCATGATTTTCTGAGCAATGAATTTTTTTTTATGTATTTTGACCTATACTGAATATATGGGAGGAAGAAAAGGGGGATAGATGCTTGTGATATACTAGAATATCTTTTACTTGAGAAATTGGGGGAGAAATTAATAGTGATAGTTAACGTTAGGTGTGAGAGAAAGAGATATTTTTAAGTGAGAGAGAATCTCAAGGGAGAGATTTTAGAATATGAAAAGTTGTACATAATTTAATTAAAAGGTAAAATTTTAAAATAAGTTGTACTAAAAGTAATTTTGTAAAAGCAGTTATAGGGAATATAAATAAGTTTTAAAGGGATGTATTCTATGTAAATTCCTCTTTTTTTTTTGTTTGTTTCCGGATTGAAAAATTTTATTAGAGGCCGCCACGTCTCATGGCTGTTAAATTAGGGGTATATTTAAAACTTTGATGGACAACAAGGGTATATGTGAACGAAAAATACGGGGGATAGATTTATAACAATATTTGATAATAGAGGGGTATATCCGACCCTTTTCCGTATTATTTATTAACCAAGTTATTCTAATGCAGTATGTTCCAAAGTCCTTCTGTGAACAACTTTCAGAATTAGCCAATAAGACAACAGCAATACTCAGTAATTCAGAGGGAAATAAGTGGAAAGTGAATTTTGTATTACGAAAAGGATACCATGCTTTTTGTGGAGGGTGGAAACAGTTTGTGAAAGATAACAAGCTTAAGGAAGGAGATGTCTGTGTTTTTCAGCTTGTCAATACAAATGAACTGAAGGTCTCCGTTTTCGACAATCCTCCTGAATCTTTGTTGAAAGTTGCTGCATAAAGATGTGCAAGAATGTAAATATTAATTTGATGCAAATGTTTTGGAATCTGAACTCTGTAGCTGCTTAACATTAACTATATTGTTCCCATTTTCCTTTTTATGTATATGAGTGATCAGAGTTCTTTAACTTCTTAGAATTCAGTAATTTTGTATGTTCAATCATCAGAGATCTGGTAATGTCGATTGTATTTCTGAAAATGATGCATAAAATGTATAGATCTATTCCAGAGAGCAGATTCACCTAGAGTTCTATGGTGCAATACCAATTAATCTATTCAGAGGCAGACCCGGGATTTTTATACGACGGCCGATGGGGATAGTATTCTGCTCACTAGTGTCCCAGGCTTGTAGTGTTCAGGGTGCCAAGTTCTTTAAACTAACCATTTTCCAGATATATAAATATACATATACAGGATTTTTGCCGAAGCTTATGGGGTCTCGTGACCCCTCACTATAACACATAGGCCCGCCTCTGGATATATTACTATTGTCTCATATAGGCAGTAATGGATGTAGCATATAGTCACGGGTTCAACTAAATCCAGCATTTTATATACAAAGTATAGATATATGATAAATTTATAAGAAAATCACTATAATTTCAAGAAATATTAAATTTTGAACCCAGAATTTCAAACGTGTAATGGGTTCAAGGGTAAAACGTGAACTTTGAACCCATCAAATTTATATCCTGATTGGCAAGCGATACAGCCAACAAGACTACTCTGGAACTGAGGCTTAGTTGATTGATTGAATAAGAATGCAAATCATTTGCTTTAAAATTTCACAAATTATAGCAGCAACCATAGGAGAATAAAATGAAGAAGTAGAAAAAGCAATCCTGTCATTAAATGATGAAATCCAGAAAGCATATGTATGAAATCTGGACCATAATCTGTCAAGTTAATTGCATTACTAAATAAGCAAATTTTATCAATCCCGATTGAAGCTATAGTCAAAGGTACACCATGCTATTAAGATGTGAATTATAATAAGTTATTTGTCACCTTAAAGTTCACCCACCAGTATTAAAAACTGACAGAGGAAATGGTGAGAAAAAGTAGTAGCAGTAGCATTCCTAGAGATGATAGCCCTTGCTTTTACAAGGTTATTTTCAATCCTCACGTTGAAGAACTGGTAAAGTTGGATCCTTTAATTAATACAGACTACTTGCTATTAAATCTTCTTTTTGTTTTACATATATCACTTGAGTTTAAGAGATCTAGTGGCTTAAGAGCTTTAAAATCTTATTTAAGTCCAAAAACTCATAAATTAGAGAGATGAACACTTTTATTTATTATTTCGGATCTACAAATCTTATTCATATATTTAAACTGTTAGAGAGTAAACACTTTATTTAGATCCATACAACGTGCTTCTCACGTACTTGTTTGATCTTACTCATGGGCGGAGGTGGCACTTGAATTCAACTTAAATTGCAATGAGTATACACTTTTATTATTGATTTTAGGTTTAGCACGTAGAAATATATCAATTTTAGGTCTATCATGCGCAATTTGATTGTTTGTCTAGGATGAAGCGTGTGCAAATATGTATATATATATA